GTGTCCACCCTCCTCGACATGTTCAACAAGCAGGGTTTGCTGACCCTCAGAGCTCACACCTTTATCAAGCTTAGGGGCCATGGTCTCCTAGCGAGGGACTCTCGATGCCCGCCCCTTCAGATCCCCATATGAGTCAACCTGATCAGTCGACGCAGATTCGGGCTTCGATGGTTTCCTTTTCTTAACTTTATCATTCTTTACAGAAGCTAGGGGTCCCTAGCCTACATTCGCTAGAATTTTGCGGTTTAAAGCGATCTGGCTCGAACCATCAACCATGGTGCAGCTCAATTATCTAAGGTGGAATAATGACAACAGATGCAATGTCTAGCTTATAGAGCACTCTGGGCACATAATCCAAGGAGAGTTAATTATTAAATTGATTTTCTTGATTCTAGTACACCATTAACTCTAATAATTTTCTCGTCCTTATCATAGCTATCGTTTTCAAAAAGCAGGAAAATTTGGGGAACTAATATGTATACACCAAAACTATCTGCACGAATCTCAAAACAATCGAACAACCTAGTTGGCGGTTAGACAATCAAGGTATCCTACCATCCAACAAGCGATCATGTGATCAAGTTCGATTAACTATTGCGAGAAATTTAATCGTCGGACCCCACCTGCAGTCCCAACCAACCAAGACGCATGCAAGTGTCTTTGATTGCAAGCTAGTCTGTCGACCTACTTTTACTACGGCAGACGAGATAGTCATTCGACCAAGTGCCTCTGTCGACGACATTTATTTCGGAAGGCACGGTCGCCACTCAGTTGGTTGCCACTTAGCCGATCGAATTCAAGCAGACTGACCAACCAATTACTGTTATATTAGAATTTAAATTATAATACTAATATAATATAAAATCTATACGATTAATTAGAGTTTCAATTGTATTAAGAACGGTTTCCATAATTGTTTCATTTTTTCTGTAATTGTACAAATACACTCCTATAAATAGGAGGCAAAAAGACAAATAAATACATCTCTTTCCCCATTTTTTATAGTGAATTCTTATCATCTACTTTATCTTTCCTCCTTCATCTGGTTCTAACTCTCGAGGCATGTTCACAACAAGCAACTTAGAATTTAAGAGTTAGAGATTGACAACTTAGGTAATTTCAAACGAACAAATCAAAGACATGAATAAAAACTTATGTAATGTCAATGAAATATTGAGATAATGTTAAATAACTCAAATAAATATTTGTACCTGGTGATGAAAATAATTTCACATTGAACATAAAATTGTTAACAATTCAAAAAATTAAGTCAAATTTAAATTTACCATGAGCTAAATAATAAAACATTTTTACCAAATTAATTGTTTGATACCATTAGATTTCTTAATAAAACTAGTTATAAATTTTTAAATTTTCTTATAGTTATTCTGTTATTGGTTACAAAGGTTAGTAAACTAAAAATGGTTTGCAGACACAGACAAAGGCACAATAAATGAATTATCTAACGTGACCTATAAGTTGTTGGACTGAGATACAAAATTTTAATTTTTTTTTTATTATAATTCTTAGATTTAATATTGCTATTCGATGTATAACATGTGATAATTTTTTAAGTTTATTTTATGGGAAGCATTAGCAAGACCATAAGCTAAACAAAAAAAAAATACTGAAGGATGATAAACCATGCATGTTTGCAAAATCTGTTGTTAAAAAAAAAATTAGTAGTATCACCGACTTGCATATATTTGAGTTTTTCTAATATCAATTGCATATGTATAGTATCAGGTTTTACATTCCAACATCAACAACAATTATATAACTAAATTAAGATTCGCTTGAATCAAAACAAATCAAAGATTGGTATATCTTTTAATTTTTTAAAAAATGTATGCCCACTTATTTTATTACTT